AAGCTTTAATTTGATATATGTTTAAAGGACGCAGTATTTCCGGAACATTTTCAAAAATTAAGTTGAAAAAGTTGTCATTTTAAATCCCCCTTTGTGGGCAGGGTAAGGGTTAAATTTATAAAAAAAATATACCAAACTAAAGGTTATGATATTACGCATCTAAATAAAAAAGAATTATATTGATATGTTTATTTTTGAAAAAGTTATGGCACTTTTAAGTAAAAAAAATTGAAAAAATTTCGAAAATTAACGATTTTTAAAAGCTTTTTTTATGCACTATAAAATTAAAAAAAAAAATTTGTCCCGACACTTTTTTTTCTACATTTTAACGACTGCCGTATTAAAAAAACACTATTTTTTTGTTAAAATTTTCGATTTTCGATTTTAAATTTTCAACTTAAAAATGCTATAACTTTTTGAAAAATGTATATATCAGCACAAATTTTTTTTTTCAAATACATTATAAGTACATCTTTCATTTGAAATACTTTTTATTAAAATTGGACAATTTCCCCTTATATAGGGGGCGTTCAAAACTTAAAATATTGTAAAAAACATAGATCTTTTTCAACTGAACTTTTGAAAATGTTCCGGAAATACTGCGTCCTTTAAACATATATCAAATTAAAGCTTATTTTATGTACTATAAAATGAAAAAAAAAAATTTGTCCCGACACTTTTTTTTCTACATTTAAACGGCTGCCGTAGTTAAAAAAACACTATTTTTGTGTTAAAATTTTCGATTTTCGATTTTAAATTTTCAACTTAAAAATGCTATAACTTTTTGAAAAATGTATATATCAGCACAAATTTTTTTTTTCTAAATACATTATAAGTACATCTTTCATTTGACATACTTTTTATTAAAATTGGACAATTTCCCCTTATATAGGGGGCGTTCAAAACTTAAAATATTGTAAAAATCATAGATCTTTTTCAACTGAATTTTTGAAAATGTTCCGGAAATACTGCGTCCTTTAAACATATATCAAATTAAAGCTTATTTTATGTACTATAAAATGAAAAAAAAAAATTTGTCCCGACACTTTATCTTCTACATTTAAACGGCTGCCGTAGTTAAAAAAACACTATTTTTGTGTTAAAATTTTCGATTTTCGATTTTAAATTTTCAACTTAAAAATGCTATAACTTTTTGAAAAATGTATATATCAGCACAAATTTTTTTTTTCTAAATACATTATAAGTACATCTTTCATTTGACATACTTTTTATTAAAATTGGACAATTTCCCCTTATATAGGGGGCGTTCAAAACTTAAAATATTGTAAAAAACATAGATCTTTTTCAACTGAACTTTTGAAAATGTTCCGGAAATACTGCGTCCTTTAAACATATATCAAATCAAAGGTTATGTTATATACTATCAAATGAAAAAAAAAAATTTGTCCCGACATCTTATCTTCTATGTGCAAATGGCTGTCGAAAATTTAAAAAAAAATGTAATGTTTGCGATAAAAATTACATTTTATCGGGATGTTTTTTGTACTTAAAACTGCCATAACTTTTTCAAAAATGAACAAATAAAAATAATATTTTTTTGTATTGAAACCTTAGATATTTCCCTTTCATTTGATATAATTTTTTTTGAAAATCTAACACTTATTCTGCTCACTGGGAGGATTTAAAATAGTAACTTTTTTACAAAAAATAACTTTTTCAACTTAATTTTTGAAAATGTTCCGGAAATACTGCGTCCTTTAAACATATATAAAATTAAAGCTTATTTTATGTACTACAAAATGAAAAAAAAAAATTTGTCCCGACGATCTATCTTCTATACGCAAATGGCTACCATATTGAAAAATATACTATTTTTGTATGATAATTATGGGTTTTGTATTTTATTTTAATAGAAGTTGATGTTGCTTTTGCAATTATCCATCAATTTTTTAAAATTAAACACTATCTACAGATTTGCATCGAAGCGTTTCTTATGATAGTGATTTTAATCACTGTCAGATTAAATCTATACTGGACCCTACTATGCAATGTCTCCACTATTTTAATATAATTTTTCATGTTTCGAAATTATGTGACCTTAAGATTTTTTTTAAATAAAGTCCATGTTGTATTATTATTATAGTCATATTAGAATGATTTTGGTTTTATACATTTTTTTAGAATTTAACTTCCGATTATATAGAGGAATGTAAAAAAATAAATGATGGCCATAAGGGTTATGATTCAAATTTTTTGATAGATTTATTAAAAAAGCATTCAGAGGTTAACAATATATTACACGAAAATGTTCTTCTACAAATTAATAAAGAAAAAGGTAAATATGAATATTATTTTTGACNAAATTAATAAAGAAAAAGGTAAATATGTATATTATTTTTGACAATGATTACAGTAAACTACGCTTGTTACTAAAATTAAGATGTATTTATTTTAATACCCGAGTTTTTTAATCATTTGAATCTATACAGAGTGATTGATTTTGGATAAGACGCTTATTTTCTTAGAAACTATTAAACATTTTTAATCATGGTTTATTATTGAAGTTTTCATATGTTAAAAACTTAATTATGGCTGGTGATTACAATCTTCCTAATTATATATGGCTTCATACATCCAATGGATTTATTCCTAGTCTAGAAATCTTAAGTAACCATTACTCGGTAACGTGACAAAAGTATCTGGTTGTTTTTTTTTGTCTATTTGTATATAT